ATTATATCATATTATTATATAGTAAATATCGGGAATACCGAGAAATAATTAGGAATTTTCAATTAGCGCCTTTGCATGAAATTTGGCAATATTTCCTAAAAATAATCTTTAGTCATAGCCTAATTATAAAAAATTATATTTTATTAGTTGCATTGGATATAAATTATAAAATTATATTTTATTAGTTGATTGGATATATTTATAAAAATTATTTTTTAAGCCAATCATATGTGATCTGATTGTCTTCTCACTCATATGAGGAGTAAGAGATCTCGAGTTCGAGTCCTCTTGACCACAAGTGTTTTCACCAATTTGGTGAGTGAAGGATTATTCCTTATTTTATAGCCTGCAATGTTATTTCAGCTTATTAGACCTTTTAATGAATAGAAAAATATTTTTTAAATAAATACATATAGATAATTAAGCATTTTAAAAATTTTAAGTTTTATCCTTACTAAATTTACTTTTTAGTAAATATGATAACGAGACATTTGAAAATTATTTTATATTTTATCTATTAAATATTTAGTTCTTTTAGAATATAGATAAAAAAATGATAGAAAATGCATTCTTTTTATTAATATTCTTTGTTTTTATGATTTGATTGAAGATATTTTTTTAAATAATAAATTTTCAAATGGAATATATAATATTTGATTTAGGAGAGAGATAAAAAATATATATATTTTTTATTAATATTTTTCTTTATTTTTGTAAGATTTGGTTGGATATATTTGTTTAAAAGTAAATTTTTACGTAATTAAACCTGAGATAATAAACAATTGAAAATTTTAATTTTAAAAAACATATATATAATATTTTTATTGATATATTGAATATCTCTATAAATTAAAATGTTTTTTTTATTAGGTGAATTTTGAAAGAGTTTTATTTTTAATAATAATTTTTTATTTTCTTTTTCGTTACTAAATAAGTTTTTTTTATTAGGTGAATTTTGAAAGAGTTTTATTTTTAATAATAATTTTTTATTTTCTTTTTCGTTACTAAATAATTTGTAACTAATGTCATTTTAATTTGGTAAAAGATTTATATATACTTTGCACTAAATAGATTACCTATTGATGATTAAACATTTTTAAATTTTTTGATATTTTTTCTCTTTTATCCTAAATTTGTTTGACTTAAAAGAAAAAAATATTTTAAGAAATTGAAAAAAAACTAAAACTATATATTTCTGTTTGGGTTACTTTTTGGAGTTACAAGAATTTGTATGTATGTGCATATATTCATTTTTCTGATACACTAGGTAAATAATACTCGAGTGATTTCTATTATCAATTCAAATCATCTTCTCATTTCTTTTCTTTTACCTAGTAGTAAAAAATAATTTTTTATTATTTTTCATTATAGTTGTATATAGATATTGATTTAGAGTTGGGGGCAAGGGTTGGAGATTGACTAATTGCTTGATTTTCTTTTTGGGCACCTATTAAAATTTTAAAAATCTTCATTTTATAAATTAGGGACTAAGTGATTTGGTTTAAGGATTGGGTTGAACTTTATTCTAAGACTACTTTATTATATAAAAATAGAATTAAGTACATAAAAAATAATATTACAAGTAGTTTGTATGGTAAAGTATAATATAAATTGACCACTTGTATTTATTTTAATCTAAACAAAGTTTATGCTTCACTATTATATAGGTAAAAAAAATGAATATATAACAAGTATAATCAATGTGTAATGCACGTCTGACGTGAAAACACTATTATGAATAAATCTATGTATTCGGCTTTTATCACTTCCCTAATTGAAACCACTAAGGGAGTGTTCGGCAGTAGCGTTTAGTGTTTTAAACTAGTCAAAATACTATTTCTCTAAATTATTATGTTCGGTAACTTAATATGTAGAGTAACTTTCAAAGGTCTATGAAGTGTTTTCTAAAATTTTATCTTACCTAACGTTTAGCATTTCACTCTTTTTACTAATTGTTTTTACAACCTTATCCTTATCCGTAATTAATATAAAATCCTTGTGTTTTTATTATCTTTATGTTTGGCTTATTTATATTTGATAGTAAAAGAAAAAAAAAAAACGTTATTTATATATTTGTATTTAAAAACAAATATTAAAAATAAAAAATGTTGATATCTAAAATATTAAAAATTTTCAATTTTATTTATAAAATAGTGTTTGCTCCCTTAAATTTTAAAAATTTAGATACAGTGAAATTATTTTTATAATGAATTTAATTGAAAATTCTATTTGAATATTTCGATATCATTTTTTTACATTTTAAATTTATTGTCAATCAAACAACTATTTTTATTAAATACTTTCTCTTTCAACCACTGTTTAAACAGTTAACAGATAACCGCTAACGTCTATCAGCTAATATGTACTAGCTAATAACTACTAGAGCAATTAGTATCATTGAACAGACTCTAAGAGTTGACCATATATTCACAATAATAGAAGTGATAAGCATCCAATACATGATAGACAGGAGGAGAGAGAGGAACCCGTTAGGAACCAACGAGAATTAGTTCACGTTTTTCTAGCCAAATCACCACTCTTGTTTTCAATACGTATACATATATATGTTACAGGGACAGACCCAAGCATATGGTAGGAGGCGGCCTGACCCCTGGCAGCTTAATTTTTTTTTTTTTTAATTTAAATTTTATTAAATATTATTTTATTGTTATATTTTACCCCTCAAAATAGTTGAGTTCTTGGGCTCACATTTTATAATCCATGAAGTTAATAAGTTAATAGCTGAACTTTAAATTAAAACTAAAAAAAGCCCTTAAACATATTCTCTATATTTAAGGAAGAAGCTATTAAAAAAAAAAAAAAAACAAAACCTTTTCAATTTTCAAGCCGTCGTTGGTCTTTCTTGGCTTTATTTTGCCGTTTGTTCTACCTACACCTAGCAATTCAATTCTACAAACAATTTCTTGACTTCGGGTAATTGATTTTAAATTTATTATTTCAATAATAGTTGATTGTATATGTATATTATTTTCTTTGTTTTTGTAGTATTTATTAGCATAACTTGTTTGTACTTTTATTCAAATTCCTGTGATTTGTTCTTTATGAGAAAAAAGAAAAACTTGATTATGGATTGCAACCACACAAATTCTGCACTTTAAATATACTGTTCGGGTAGGAAAGATTGAGAAAATTGACGAGGGTAGACCTTATTCTTTTAGAGAAGATGATCATGATGGTGTGGCTAATTTGTATCCTAGAAGTAGAGTCATGTTGTTAGTGAGGAAATTTTAACTAGATTTTTATTAGTATCAGTGTGTAATTTTAAGTTCATTAAGAAGCTGCAATTAGAATGTATATTGTGTTTGACAAATTTGTAATATAAGAATGACAATGTAATTTAAAATTTTACAAAATTTAGTATAAATAAATACTACTAAAATTTATGAAATTCTTTTGTTGAAAGTTTATATTTTTATGCTTGATATAGAAGAAAAGAAAAATTCAATTTAATCTTAAAGTAAAAAAAATTTATGAAATTTAAAATAATTAAATCAATTTCCCTTATTTATTTTACAATTCAGCTTTGTTTATATCAAATTGGGATTAATGTGTTGTTTAAACATATGAAATTATAAGTTAGCTCAATGATAAGTGAAAATATGATAATACAAATTAAAAAAGTAAGCTTGGAACAGAAATAGATAGATTAAATTATTAGTTAATTAAATATCATTTTATTTAAATTGCTAGATTTATTATTTTTGTTTAGTTTAGTTTTCAGTTCTTGTTTTTTTTTTCAATTATTTATGAAATGAGTTTGACTAATTAATTCACATTATTTTTTATAGATTCTTTATCGATCAAGTATAACCAATTTAATATTGCACGTGGCAAACTTTTTGCTTGGCGCAATTTAAGGTATGTATACCAATGAGTTTGAGTGGTCGCTCCCAGAAGACCTGGGTGGTGGTCTATTGATGTAAATATTATTAAATTAATTTTACTTTAATACTTTTTAAGATTAGTGTTTCTCTATTGTTTTAAGTTATTACTATTTTATCGTAATAAGTTGCATTTCTATATTAATATATATATTTTTAAGATTAGTGTTCTCTGTAGTGTTTCTCTAATGTTTTTAAGTTATTACTATTTTTATCGTAATAAGTTGGCATTTTCTATATTAATATATATATATATTAATATATATATATATTATATATATAATAATTATATTTTTTTTTTGATAGATGAAATAAACATGTACACATACAGATTGCTTATTTTCAAAAAGGAAGGAACGTTGAATATATATTTTTTTTTTGATAGATGAAAAAACCATGTACAATAGATGCTTATTTCAAAAGGAAGAACGTTGAAACATCAAATTCAACTGAGGAGCCAAATTCTTGTATGCATAATGCTCCTTTAATTTCTGAAAACAATCCTACTAAAACTCGTAGAATTGAAGTCAATGAGAGTTTTGACATCAATTTATTAGAGCATGACCTGGGTTTGCAACAACAAATATGGCATTATCCTGTTAACATGCAAGAAGAAATTTGAAGAGCTTATATTAAAGCCACTCTATATCAATGATTCTTTCACAGTATCCAAAATCTGGGAAAAAACATCGAAGGAGCTTTCAAGCATCATGATTTAAGGTATTTCTGTCATGGTTGGAATATTCTTCGACTAAAGAAGCGGCTTTTTGTCTTCCATGTTTTTAATTTCACAAGAAAAATGGACCTTTTGGATTCGATTCATTTACTGTTAATGGCTTTCGAAATTAGAAAAAGGTGAGAGATGGTAAAAACTGTTCGTTTTGATGCATATTGGAAAAGATTATACATTTGTTCATCGAAATGTAGAAAGAGCATGGATGGATCTCATTAATCAATCTTCACATATTCAAAAACATTTTGAGTGTTTTACATCTTAACAAGTTGTAGAGAATAGAATTCGATTAAAAGCTTCAACTGATGCAGTTTGGTGGCTTGCATTTCAAGGATGTGCTTTTAGGGGTGATGATGAAAGTAGTATGTCATAAAGGTCGGGGGAAATTTCATTAGCTACTTAGTTTGTTATCTTCTTATAGTGATGAAGTATCCAAAGCTTTACAGGAAACTCCAAAAAATGCTTCATACACTTCACCAAGAATATAAAAAAGAAATTTTGCACATTCTTTCTATCAAAGTAAAGAATGTCATTCGTGAAGAAATTAGTGATGCTAAATTAGGATGTTCTTTATGCGTGCGACTATAAAAAATATCAGCCTTTGAACCAATACCATACACTTTTCTCCTCTTCTTGCCTCCTGCAGCCTTCAAGTGTTTCCACGCTTCAGAATCTGATGGACGACACATAACATCAGCTTCACGTTCATGTTCTGCATGCCACTGCATCTGTTCAGTTGTAGCATGAGATGCATATAGCCTTTAAAGTCGTGGAGTCAACGGAAAGTAACACATTTTCTTAAATGCTCTCTTTCTGTTGTCTTCCAGTTCCTTGACATCGCATTCTATATATAGGAAGGTTGTAAAAATTGCACACCCTTACCCCAAAATATCATATAATTATCACGATAACAATATATCTTCTGAATCAGCAAGCCTAAACCCTAAACTAGCTTCTTCATTTGGTAAAATTTATCAACCATAGAATTATCACCTGACATCATTTCTTTCATTAATTGCATAAAATCATCATAACACCTTTCAGAAATGTGGTGCTCTTATTTAATATGCAACATTCGCGATACTATAGAAAGTAAAGAATGATGCTGACAATCTCGCCAAACTTTATGATTGGCGGCACTTAGCATATCATACAACTTTTGCGTGACCGTGTTTGGTGACTCTTCCATATTCTCCCAACGGAAATTAGGACTAGCCACATCTCTAACCATATCTTGCGATCACAATATTGAATCTGAATGCAAATCTATGCCCTGACTCTGTGATGCACTAGACTATAGACCCAAACTATTGCCAACTCGAGTTTCACCATGATATACCCACTGATAATAGTTTTCTACAAACTCATTTTTGCATAAATAAAGCTTCACTATTTCAACATCATAAAAAGTCCTATTCTTGCCAGCCTCTGGAAGCCTAGGACACTCCCGTGTCATGTCCAGCACGCCCGTGCCGCCACCCTTACTAGGGTTTTGTCTAGTTACGACTTTTATATTATTTTATTAGGGCTTTATGCTTTAGCCTAACCTATAAATAGGTTATTTTGTATCATTGGCATATTCATTATCTTTTGATCATTATTCCTATCAATAAACTTCTTGAGAGTTTAGCTCTCTATTTTATTCATCGGATCAAATGTCATTGATCAAAACTCCTAACGGAGTATAATCGTTTATTCCCATTCACGTAACTGTTCTGCGTCATCTCAACTATAGAATTGTAATTTAATCCATAATCTTAACACTAAATTAACCAAAGTCAAATAAGCATGTTAGGTAAGCATTCATAGTCAATGATTATATAATTTCTCCTACTTAATAAGTTTCTCAACTTTTTCAGTAATAAAATCTAACATAACAGGTACTTCATTTCTGTAATAATGAATTATACTCATCTAAATCCCAATTTGTATTTTATGAGTCATTTTATATTAACTAAATCAACTAAAACTTGAACTAACTAGTTCTAATTGAATTTTCACAAGAAAATACAATGTAGGGACATAGGGCTTACCGATTAACAATTGGATTGAAGATTTGGGGTCACCAAGAAAAGGGGAAAATTCTGTCTCTTAGGTCCTTGCTAGAGCGTCGCTGGCTGCCGTGCACGGCGGTTGAAAAATCGATTTTGTCAAAGAAGAGCAACAAATCACTCAGATTTTCTCTTGGAGTCCATATCCGGCTTTAGTTTGCAGAGATGAGGAGCCCTTAAGTCGAAAATCACATCGACAGCCTCCTCCTAGCCGTTAATCATCGCGGATTCGAGGGACGGAGCTAGTCGCCAGAATTTATGGAGGGAAAATGCTTGCAAGGTGATGTGGAGTTGATCGGAGGTCCCCCTGAAGGCTATCTTTGCCAATAAAGGCGAGAATCGCCGAAAGAGGAGTCACTACGATACCAAATCCCATTACTTGCGATTCCCCTCTATCCAGGCCTTTATCACGCGAACTGTAGCCACAAGAGTGACTGTCTCGTCGAGGTCTTGAGCTTAGAGTCCTTTATTTTACTAGTTTGATTTATTACTTTATTTTATTTATTTATTTATTTTTTAATTGGTTTAATTAGATTCTAGAATATTTCCTCAATTTACTAATAAATAATAATAATTTATTTATTTATTTTTTAATTGGTTTAATTAGATTCACTAAGAATATTTCCTCAATTTACTAATAAAATAATAATAAAATGAATAATATAATAATAATAATAATAATAATAAATTATTTTATGATGAACTAATTTCAATAGTAGAAACACACACACACACAACACACACACACATATATAATATATATATATATATATAGTATTATATATATATATATATATAATTACTTTAATTTATTTATTTATTTTTAATAGATTAAATAGTAGAGCTCCATATTTATCCTTTATTTATTTTAATAGATTAATAGTTAGAGCTCCATATTTATCCTCGAAAATTTTTGAAGGTTCTCGACTCGAAAATTTCGATAACATATTTTGGGCTTGAGTCCAACTGTGTAAACTTAGGCTTGGATTAGAATTATATGGTATTTGCAGCTTATACAGTCAAAAATCCAGAATTTTAATTTAATTAAAATTCAAAAATTTTGAAAATAAAATTACGGGATGTTTTAGCGAGCGTTCATCTAGTTAACATATAAATGGAAGAACTAAAGCCTTAAAGCCTAAAAATCAAACCATAAAATCAAAGAATAGAGGCTCCATAGGTTAAGTCTCCGAGGGATTTTTATACTAAAGCTTATTTATTTCAAAATAGTTTATACCAAAGCCTATCATTAATACCTTAATTTTTGTCGCTAATTTAGTATAACCGACAAAATAGCGGCAAAATTTTATCGTTAATTCATTATGATTAGTGTTAATTTGATGATGATAATAATCTAAATGGTTAGATAAAATTTAACTATATAAATTAGTAAATGTTAGATAATACTTAGATTAATTAGGTGATTAGTTGGTAAATAATGTAAATAACAGTATTATATGATTATTAAATTAATTAGGTGAGTAGTTGGTAAATAATATACATATTTATGTTAATAGAAGATTTAGTAATTAAAATGAATTATTAGATTTAACGACCGTCATAGATTAATTAATTTATTAATATGACTCAATTATGAGAATTAAGGAAGTATGAAATTATTGGATTATTTAAGATAATATTGTATTAAATTAAAATTTGTGTATTGTGGATTTGTGCCAAAGTCTTGAAAAGAATGTGCCATTTATGTATTTTTAGTGATTATGTGAAAATATGATTTTATTGATAATTAAATGTTGTGAATTATTATGTTATGAATGAAAATTTTTTTGAAATCCTTGGTGAATTTAGTATGCTTATAGGAAATTATGTTGAAATTAAGAATTTACGTGATTTTGAGTATGATTACGTAATTAAATTACGATTTAAAATTTGATTATGGTGTAATATTTAGTACGAAAGATATGATTTTATAAAAAGAAAATTAGATTTTATGATAAGGAATATTTTCGTACTTTTTATGGTATACTAGTATAATTATGAGATTGAAAATTTTGTATTATGAATACTGTTACAGATATGATATGAAAAGAATTAAATATAATAAATATTTTTATCGACCCTAGTTTACTTGGTTGATATCGGTGGTAGTAGGGGTGTGCATGGGACTTTGAGAATTTTGATCCATTCCCAAAAACCGTCCTAAATTTTCCATCCCAAAAATATATATTTGGTATTAATTTAATAGTCATGTCTTGAAAGTAATTATGCGATGAAATTGATTTTTTGATTAAAATCGATCGGTACTGATCCAAGTTTTATTCCATCCTGTTCCGTCTCAAAATTTAGTATTTCCGTTCCATTTTTATTCAAAATTCTAGGTGTTTCTTTTTTTTTTAATGAATTTCAAATCATATCCACGAGTTACTTTTAAGATAATAATAATATGCAAAAAATAATATACATTTTTCTAAATATAAAATGAATCAATTAATTAAACATATACATTTTTCTTTGTTATTTTAGTATATGAATTAAGTAAATTCTTTCGAATAAATTTTAGCTATTAAATAGAAAATTATTTTCCAAAGGTAAGTTATCTTTCAGAAACAAACAAAGCCTTAATTTTACAAATTCAATTCTATAGAATTGAATATAACTATACCAAATTCTATAAAAATAGTTAGATTTTCCAAATGAATTTTACAAAAATAAGCAATCCAACTTTTTATTATAAAGCTACCCTTCTCCTTCTATAAAGTGAATATTTCAATTTTTTACTTAACTTATTTATTTATCAAACTTGACCAAAATCATTTAAAAAAATATTTTTATTATTTTGTGTGTTTGTTTTTTTTTTTTTTTTTTCAATTTTTTACTTAACTTATTTAGTTATCAACTTGAAACCAAATCAATGTTAAAAAAAATATTTTTATTAGAGTTGTGTGTTTTGTTTTTTTTTTTTTTTTTTGTTTTTTAATAGTTTTTTTATTTTTTCTATTTTAAAATATTTTAGCCATTTTTACTACTGACGGAGAGAGAAGAAGTTTCCAACTTAAATTATAATTTATCATTAATATTAAATAGAATAATTTTTAATTAATATAATAATTTTATTAATATTGTTTTTGTTATATATATATATTTTAATCAGAATATAAAAAACTATATAGCATAATATAATTATTCATGGTGTTTATTATTTATTTTTATGAAACTACTATTTTAAGGATATTTTAAAAAACAAAAGTAAATAAATCTTAAATTATAAATTTATTTCATATATGATTATATGGATGAATATTGATGCTTAATGTTTTGGATTTTCCCCTTAATATAGCTTTATGTTATGGCAACTTGAATCCATATTATTAATGGATTTTTAATGCTTTTAGTTGTTATCAGAATCGGCTAATGGAGAATTTAAGAAGATTAAAAGGCGAACATGTTGACAGCCCAAAAGCAACTCCTAAGTAAGCGGGCTTTAGCCATAAAGTCCAAGAGAAAGAAAATAGAAAACACTGTTGAAACAAACGGTTATTTGGACCTGAAACTCACACTTGTAAATATTATATATTGGTTCAATGTAATTAATCATAAAATGGAATATCAATTACATCAAGCCACTACAATCAAAACTTTACTATTCAAGGTTATTTATCACTACCATCTACTACCACTACAACTCGACCACCATTTCAACTAGTACCACCAGTATCACCTCAACTGCTCTATCACCATCACCTCAACCGTTCTATCATCACCATTACCAACACCACCACAATCACCACTCCACCACCTCAACCACTCTACCAAGATCACTACAAATACCACTCCACCGTCGACGCCGCCACCACCATTATCACATAATAAAAATTATATTTTAGTATTTAATATGCAACATAAAATGAAATTTCTATTTTATTTTTTTATTTTGTTATAGGAATTAAAAGAATAAAAAAATTAATAAAATTATGATAGTTTAGGCTTTTGGTATATTGTGAAATAGCACTGTGAATATTATAAAATATTAACTATTCTTGGAGTGCACTCTTCAAATTCTTATAAACAGGAGGTGATGTTGTTGTAACTTGCAAATGATACATGCATGGACACCAAATTCTGCATTATGGATATCCAAACAAGACTTGAAAACTTCTTCAAACTAGACCTAAGATGGACGATTCATAATCGGTGTAAAAATAGAGAGATAACTTTCATCATTTGATCATAACTTTCTCCACAACGCAAATTTTGAGACAAGGTGACTAAAGCCAAATGATTTTTCAACTTAAACATGGCTACTAAAGCCATTCTTTCCTTCAAATTGCAACTAAAGTCACTTTTTCAATCAAATTAATGACTAAAGCCATTTTTTTCAAACTTGGAAATCAAAACAAAATTTTCAATTAAATTGGCAACCGAAGCCACTTTTTCAATCAAATAACTTCATCTTTCTCAAAATAGGTGACTAAAACACACTTTTCTGAATCTAAAAACCCCCTATTTCATAATAAAAAACTACTTGGTTCTGATTCTTGTTCAGATAAGCTGGCATACTAGATTACTCAACTCAAGTTGTGAACCAAACAAAATCTACAAAAACTTTCATCCTTTCTTTCCTCTTCTCTTGCTTTGTTCGGATTTGCTTGTTTTACGTGCTTGGTTGAGAGACATGTGATTGTCATAGAATTTCCAGAAGGAGCTAGAGGTAATACTCCCTTCTTTGATTTCTTTATGCTTTAATTGTGTTATATTCATGCTTCCTTTATTGCTTTTTGTGATTGTTTTCCTTGTTTTAATTTAGGAAAACGTGTGATCACCTTAGAATCTCCTTAAGGGACTAGAACTAACCTTCCCTTATCAGCACATTACTTTGTTTACTGCTTACTTTACTTGTCTTGGTGAGAAATATGTGACCATTCTAGAATTTACAAAACGAGGCTAGAAATGACACTCACTTCCATTGATTTATTCTTTTATTGCTTTCTCTAATTGCTTTCTTTATAACTTTCTTATAATTGTCATACATTTGGTCATCTTGAAATTATTTTCACTTGACAAAAAAATTAAAATTTTGACTAATTAATTGATTATTTTAAACCAAAAACCTAGTTCCAAAGACGATTAGTGCATTTTATCCATTTAAACCATTATCTGGAGTCAAATTTAGGTTTTTCCTTGGATTTTTCCCTTAAACGTAAAATGTAAGTGGCAATTCCTTTTTAAAGAAAACAATCAGATTAAATAGGTTTCTACACTATGAACCCAACTAAAAAATGTGCATTCCAATTCAAGTTTTAGTGGATTGGACTAGGTACTCGAGTTGGAGCCTCATAACGTGAATAAATACAACAAACTCAAATGTGCAAAGACACTATTTCTTATCCTCTTTTCTTCTGTCTTTCACCTCCCTTTATTTTTCAACTCCTTAATTTCTTTAGTTTCTTTCATGTCCCTCTCACCTAGTTTTTCCCCCTCCT